CCCCAAAACCCCAAAACCCCAAAACCCCATGAGTAAATAAAGATATAGATGTTGATAAATGATTATAATGCGAAAAGCTGAATTAAGAATCTTAATTCAATCTCTTCCTAATTCGAAGTTATTAATAAGTCAATTTTATGCTATGTCATTGTATCAAAAGTAGCAAGCACTCATAAGTACTTGTTTTAGTTACTGGCATGCTGCTAGATTGCACTCTTCTAGTAGTCAATGTATTGATCTTGGTTTGTCTAGGCTTGATTGATAGTAGTCTAATCTCCCTTTCTTGTGATCACACCCCCTTTCAAGTTCTCCTCATATTACATCGAGCCATTTCGTTTCTATATGAATATTATTATGATATAATTCTTACATGGGATCCAGTTACCTGATGGTTTTCATATCTATCATTGTGAAGCTTCCTCGATTTATGATGAGGCTTTGAATGATCTTTTTTAGTCTTTTTAGAATGATGGCCTGTATTGCCTCCACTTTGCTTCCTTTAATTTGACATGACATTATCACCAGCACTAGTAGTAATATGATTGCTAGTGTATTTTATGAGTCTATGATTTTCATTATCTTACTAGCTATTAATAGCTTAATTAGCAGCACTTTCAACTCTGATTCTCACGCCAGCTCCATTCAAGGGATTAGTATTGGTATTTGTTGGAATGCGCTTTCTCTCTTAGCTTTTGCTTTAAATTTCTTGAATCATATTGTTCAAGACCTATTCATCATCCGATGAAAGCTGTCCTCCACCACCTTTAATGCCTTTATGATTCTTTCTTTAGTGGAGTAGATCAAGGTTATCCAAATCTTATAAGATTTATTCCTCTGTATCGTTGAGATTAACAGGCTAGGTTGATTATCTTAGTCCATTTTCAAACGGATTGGTTGTTTCGTTTTGCTTATCTAATGATTGCTAAAGCAAGTTAAGATTTTGATTGAATTAGAGATGCTATTGTTAGTGTTGATTATGACTGTGTTGCTTTATTGGATTGAGATACTTTGAATAGGTCTGATTGTCTTCTTTGAAATTGGCTTGACTCTGTTTTTTGTATTCTTTCTCAGCAGTTCCACCAGGACCATAATCATAATCATTTTCTTATTAATTTCCATATCTATCATATCTATTGTCCGGCCTATGAGTCATTGATCCACCAGTTATGCTTGAGAATCCATTATGTTATGGAATGTTACTGTTGTGATTGATTATAATATTATTTGTTAAGTTTGCCTAATTACCTCCTAGAACAGAATAGTCTTCCTTCTCAACATGGTGAGTCTTATGTATTTGCTTATTGCTCGCAAGATCAGTTCTTATTTATGGTACAAATGTTTATCTCCTTGCAGTTTGATTAGTAGTTGCATTCTTTTCGTAGTCATTTAACATTAATCCACCAATCTTTGGCTTTGTAAAGGTGTCGACAATGACATCATTATCTGATTTATGCTGGTGATTCAGTTGAAGTTGCTAATGTCCTGGATAATGTGGAGTATGATTACTTGCTCCCCTCTAGACAACCTTCTCTTAGTCTATGATATTAACATGACTGTTCATTGTGGAACTCAGATTCTTATTAGAATTTGTTCCAGCTAAGTTGTGATTCAAATTGATGTCAATCGGCTCATTCATTATTTTTTTCATTTAGTCATATAGTTCTAAGTTATTACCCTTGAAATCCTTAACTTCTTTATTGCTTTGATTTTTGGTTGTAATTGGCTAGTGATCATGAATTTTGTTAATAATATCATTAAGCTTTTATGAAACCTTCTCATCTAAAGCCCAATGCTTTGATCTATCAATTTTCTACTTATTGATCTCCTCCTATTGTTTATCTAGGACCTATTGCTAGGTCAGGGCAGTGCTGTTGCCACTAGGATTGTTATTGATTTGATTAGATCGCTTTTTACTATGTGAGTTATTTCTCTCTTACTTTTCTTTGTTAGGTGATTTACCCTCTTTATTATGAGTCTTGCCTTTGTATTCGCAAGCTTTCACGTATTAGATATTTCCAAAATCAGCAATCTTTACTTGATCTATGAACAATGCCAGAGTCAATGATTTCTCGTTCATGATAGAATTTTTGACTAGACTTTGATTTGTTTCTTGTAAACTAGCAAGTTCTTTACTTTTTTCGGACATCATTCTGAAGAATTCTTCATACGATATAGTCTCGATTTACTTCTCAATACGATCAAATTCATCTTGCATCTAATTGACCTTTTGCAAGAATTTACCTGACTTCATTCTGTCAAATTCAAGTTTAGACTTCTAGTCACAGTAAAATTCTCTAATTATCCTAACGAACTCCTTTTTCTTATTATCAAGCGTTCTTTATATAGACTTGAATGTCAGGTCTAATTTGTTCATCTGTCTATTGCACATCTCGTTCAATTTCTTATCAAATCCATCATAAGACTATTTGCTCTTGACAGCATCATAGAGGATTCCTTGATACTTCTAATGCACATCTTGAAAGTCATGCTTTATTTTTTCAATGTCAACTGAGTACTCTGAGATCACATGACCGACCCCTGTATGCTGAATAACACACTTAGAACATAAGAAAGCCATATCACTTTCGCAGATGTACTTAATTTTCTTATCTGGGTGCCTTAAACATGTCGTTGGCTATAGGAGTTTTGGCTGCTTCTTATGCCCATGATTCCCACCAGACTCTGTTGTATAGTTTTACTAACTCTATTGAGAGAAAACCTTACTGCTCCCAGATTTTTATATAATGTTTTAACTGCTGTTACTATTCAAGTTGTTAACAGCTCCAGTTGATGATCTTGAAATTTACTAATTTCCACTTGCATCATTAGTAAGTTGATTTTAAATTTGACTAGTGGGCTAATTTGATGGCAAATAGGCAATAATTGAGTAAACACAGGGAAGCTTTGAAGGGTGAGTGTAGTGAATTTTCTAGCAGGTGGGGCACTTAATGTAATACTGTAGATTTTCATCGTAGAATTTAGCCTCATACTTCACCTCAGTACTTCCTCCATTCGTTTAGTCTTCATATTACTTCACAAATGTGCACTGCAGTAAACATCCTTCGCAATAAATATGACCACACTGAGTAATTAATGGTCTATGACTAGCTATAAAGGCAAAGATTAATAGAGTATTAGAGTAAAGGATAAGTGTTTACATTCATTATACTAAGTGTAGCAAATGTTGCATTCGAAGATGGAAGTTGACATTTAAAATTACTTTAGTTATATAATTCTAAGAATCAATTCAAATTACCTGCTTTCATCTATACGTTAACCTTCGGGGTTTTGGGGTTTTGGGGTTTTGGGGTTTTGGGG